GTGCTTTCTGGGCACTTTCAAAGTGTATGAGTCAATTAAAGAATTTGAGAAAATCACAATTTTTTTGGGGGGGAGGGGGTCAAGGGGGGGGGGCGCCAGAGGGGGGGGGGTTATGCAAGTGCAAGATGCAAGAGGGGGAGCAAGTCCCCCAGAAACACTTACTATATCAAGGAGCTATTTGATGATGTCTGGGCACTTTGAAAGTGTCTGAGACAAAACACTAAAATAAATTTAGAACTTTTCCATTGTTTTGTGGGGGGTGTGAGGGGTGGCCAATGCCCCTAGAAAATTTTACAATTTTAAGATGCTATTTGGTGCTTTCTGGGTACTTTCAAAGTGTATGAGTCAATGAAAAAAAATTACAAAAAAAAATATTTTTCAAAAAAAATTATTTTTTTCAAAAATTTTTTTTCAAATTTATTTCGGGGGGTGACAAAGGGGGGAGCGGTCGCACCCATCGCACCCCCCCCCCCCATCTGACGGCCCTGAACTATATTTGGCTTTGACTTATTTGTTTGAGAGGGATACGAAATCTAGGAATAAAAGTCACCGACGGTCCAACTTCAACGAACAATCTACATGTACAGACTTATCTTACTAATTTAAATAATTATTTGTCCTCATCGTGATTTGCCCGTCTGATTATACAGGTTTTACTTTCAATTTAGCCTCACTCAGACACACAAATAAAATGTAAAATTATAACATCATATTATAAAAACATTATCCAACCTCGAATTAACACTAATGAACACGATGTGATGACTTTATTACTATCTATGAGGAACCATTAAACAATTATGAACGAAATCCAGATACGTACAGTTAATTCATGAATTTGGAATATAATGTCGCAATTCATTCTAAATATCTGTTAAATATCGAATCTCTTACATTACGAATCTCTTATTAAAATATATTCTATTTATACAATATTGTTTTTCCCGTCATCCGTGATTTCCACATGTTGATTGTATTCTATTTTATCAAATGATCGGAAAGTAATACCATGAAATGAGTAGCATTAGACATGTTAGATTATACGCCCTTGAATTACACTTATAAACACGATGTGATGATTGTTTCATTTACTTAGAGGAACGCATTAACAGATTAATCAATTATGAACGAAATCCAGATACGTACGATGTAAGGATTCATATAGAAGGTAGTTTGCAAATGAATCCTGCCTTCAGGAAGGCAGGATTCATTTGTAAACTATATTGCATATGAATCCTGTATGATTCCTGGAGGCTGGATTCATTTGTAAACTATATTGCATATGAATCCTGTATGATTCCTGAAGGCAGGATTCATTTGCAAACTACCTTCTATATGAATCCTGTACGAATCCTGAAGGCTGGATTCATTTGTAAACTATATTGCATATGAATCCTGTATGATTCCTGAAGGCAGGATTCATTTGCAAACTACCTTCTATATGAATCCTGTACGAATCCTGAAGGCTGGATTCATTTGTAAACTATATTGCATATGAATCCTGTATGATTCCTGAAGGCAGGATTCATTTGTAAACTATTTAAACAGCGAATCCTGTATGAATCCTGGAGGCAGGATTCATACAGGATTCATATATGCATATGAATCCTGTATGAATCCTGACTCCAGGATTCAGTGGTTTGATTCACATTTTTTGCTGTGAAATGTAAAACGTTCTATATGATAAATGATAAAGATGAAGCAGTTGGGTGCTCAAATGCCAACAATCACAAAGCAGAGAATGTACACCGTACGTTGATGTAACAATCTCGCTTCGTCAATTTAGAATAAACAAAAACCGTTCGGAATGTTTACGAAATTGCTGATTCATTTTAGGCTTAATTTGCATAAGTGCTAAATATACCTTCTTACTACTTCGTATTATAATCTACAATGAGTGTATTTCTTTTCAAGCAGCCTTTATAAAGTATATGGCAGGGGGCTGCCAGAACTACTTCAATGTCTCATTTCCTTTCGTAATTTTCACATGTTTATACGATTTAATCTAAATACAATTTATAATTTATACATAACTGACTTACTTAAAAGGATATAACAGTACATGCAAGACTATATAACTAAAACTTGCAAGAAATTCAGATATTCGTGAAACCTCTATAGTCTGGTACTTGGACAAAATTGCACACTTTAATCAACGAAGTGTCACCCAAATTTTGAAAATTATTGATTATTCTAAAGAAAGTGAGTCACCGTTTGTCACGAAAGCATTCAAGTAGGCTTCACTATATTCTTTTTATCAAGTTGTTTTCTTAGTATATGAAAACCGCATAATAAAATAGGTTGATGAGTTAACCAACTTTTGAATCAAAAAATACATTTCGACACTTGAAAAGTGTTTCTTTAGGTAGTTTCGCTCTTTAATTATCTTCAAATGTCACGACACATTTCTTTTGAATAAAACGCCAGACAACGTTGTATTTATTTCTATTTATAAATTTAAAAATGTCAACATTAACATCCACCTCTCAACGACCCGCGTGATTCTATGTCACGATAATATTTGATGCTGGTACCTTTCAAAGTATTGCAAATAAACAGGGAACTCGATAAAAATGCGTCCTTGTTGCTATCATACATTTGTATGGTATCATGCGGTGAAAAAAGAGAGATGGAGTTCCACGTATTTGCAAGAACTTGGACGTAAATGTGTAATACTATGACCCCCGGGAATTGCTGGCCATCTCTCAATTGGTATGAACTACATGTAGGACCCTTCTACAACTATTTCATCACACCTTCTTATCCAATCGGACGAGTGAAGGTCAATGAGGTGAAAATAGTTCATAACTAGGGGAGCATATTAATTACACATTTCACGCACACGTTCTTCAAAACAGTGGTTGAATCGTATATCATCATCACTTTGACCCAGAATGCTTAACAAAATGACAACCCTCTGAACGGGGCAGCCATATTGAAACTGAGTATACGATCCAACGACTACAAATCCAACTTGCTGCCATAGACTTTTATTCGAACTGAAATAATACCATTTATAATGAAGGCAAATGATTCTGTAACTGTAATCGCTGAAATCGGTCGGGCTAGTCTAAATCAACGGATAAGGTTTGATTCAAAGCTTATAGATTAAACACTGCTGGTATAAGTAAACGATGCCAAATAAGACTCTGGGGAATTGTGCATCACTGTACTCGTCAATTGCTCCAAAATGTAGGTTTTGAAAGCAATAAAGCATATGTGAATTACGGTAAGAATAACTTCACGAAAGAGAATCTTTCCCGAGGCAAGTTGGAGTTGCATCCGTAATGTTAAAAGTATTCAGAACATCCCATTCCTTGCGTCAATGTCAACCGCATCTTCGTTGGATTTAAAAACCTCCGTTCGGGCATTGGCGTAAACATGCCCTGAAACCTACACACAAAAAAGAAATAGATTTCGGATGAGTCTTATAAATAAAGAGGCATTCTTTAAACTGAATCATTATATTGGGGAAAATCGTTAGCCTAGCGGTATATGAATAATTTAAATAGATGCAAATACTTATCGTGAATGGTGACTTAAATTAAAGCAATAGAGTGAAATAATTAAAAGAATCGTGCTGCGAAATAAGCACATATTGGATTTAAAAACAAGGAGACTTTAAAGGTAAATTTTAAATTGTGTAGTATCTCGTAAATGACTAAATATATGTATGTTTTCTCGAAAGTTTTTACGTAAGGGTAATAAATGTCACCATTTTTAATTTTCCCTAAAAATCAAGTATATCATTAATTAACATACATTCTTCATCTGTAATTTATATCAATTATTTCTTTCGAATCATATCCATATACATGCTTGCGCATTGATCATGCTACGTCATAAGTACACTTATATACTATCTCCTTATTCATGCTTTTTCCTTGATCGTATTTTCGATTCTCGTTAATCCATGCTTAATTTCTACTAACTGAAACTTCATAATCTTACAACCTCCTGAAATCCAATTTTTTCCTCACAATGCTTTCTCCCTAATTGTGCTTTCTCTTAAAAAATCTAGTTGAAATGCCATTTTACTCACACAAATAATTAATAAACAATGTAAACTTATTCTGACCATACAGCTAGCCAAAGATCGATAGGTGGTTTTTTAATAACTAATATAATTCAATCAATATTAATAGGAACAGCTACCGGAGGCTATGCTGTTTATTAAATGCATAACAACATTGAAAACTGTATAACACAACCGAGCCATGTGATTTGGGACAATTCAGCCTTCCTTAGATTACTTACACCTAACTTATCTAATGTTGAGTAAATTATATACCATGCGTGTGTTCACAAAATGGATATTCGGATCTGCTGTTAGAGTCAAGACGTGATGAGGCAATGGTTGCAATGATTTATGATCTAAAACATAGACACACGGATTCGGACCGGAAAGTGTGATTCACAGGTAAATATGTAAACGCAAGTGCTAACAGGAAAACACAAAAAAATGGTTACAGTCTCATATTTCGGGCGTGGATTCTATGGATTCTATGATTATTCAACACATTGTTTGTCAGGTTAATTATATTGCATTCTTCAACTGTACTTTTCCTGTTTCGACTCCTGCTTCGGGTTTCAGTGACACTGGATGTTCAGATACAACAGGAAATATCGGCTCGATTGGTGGTTTCATCACTTGGAAGCTCACGTCACCACCCACATTTTTGTTACTTGGGCTCCATTAGTGAACAGCACATAAGACCCCCCGGTTTCCATCGATCCGCTATAGTGCTCCAAGTGCAAAAATATATACCCCCAGGATATCAACTTAATAAACATGTACATGGTATAAACATATATAAAACAATTACTCTTTGGCAAACACAAATGTCCTAGCATGTCAAAAATTCTACAATAAATGTTTTGGAGCATAATTGATAGAAATAACTTCTAAAAATATATTGTGATTTTCAGCTAAAAATACTAAGTAACATGAAACATCAAGAACATTCATTCATTCGTGTCGTTAACAATTCTTTTTTCAGGAAAAGACGCCCGTACAAAAAGTCGATATTATAGAAGTATCAAAACAAATTGAAAAGACCTCGGACACAAGTAAAATATATAATTAGTTCTTGGAAGCAGCTTCACGTTACTACGTTACGTATACTAGATACGTATCATCCTGGAATACAACAAGCAGTCGACTCAATCGATAAGATTCGTCATTGACATATGAGAAGAGTGGCGTACACACCTGAAAATACACAGTCAATTCGCTATTGATACAATACTTAAGATACTAAGACGATACGAGCGATCATTAGGCTACGATTGCTACCAATGGCATCACAGACAATGTTCCTAGATACAGTATTTATCATTTTACTTACATATTTGAGAACTATACATTGTGCAGTGACTCTTACACAAATCTCGACGGTGTATTTGCCATATTTCGAGGGATCTGGATGGGCCAAACAGTACGCATTGGTCACGGATAACATCGCTAATGCTGCTGAAACAAGTGTGTATGATGCTGATAGGGCGATTATATATTCCGTAGGTAAGTCGCAATGAAATGTTTCGAGGGATGGACTTTATGTTTTGAAACCGCCGTAGCACGAAAGGCATTGTTCATCTAACCAAACGTGGTGGTTCTAGTAATTGTATATTATCACTTTGTCCGATATGGACCCTAGGATACTATTAATCCACGATGCAAATCTTTAAACCGCAACAAGATCATTTTAATCACATTAGAGAATATACCTAATCTAGTAACTCTACCAGTGTTCTACTACTACGGGACACAATTTCTTCCTCGGATTATAGAAACACAACCTGTCATTGGTATATCAGGTTGATACGGGACAGATTCAAGGAATGAACAATCAACTGACCGGATTAGTAGTTTAAGAGTGGGTCATTGTTACGAGTAGCAAACGTTTCATCTCGTTGTAACAATTGGTTATATTTTTATCATAGGCAATCTCTGAAGCAGTTGAGTGTGTATCCAGCAATGACGGATTCTAATGCGATTCACTCATTAGCTGAAATGTTGGCGAGCTGTCAATTGTTTAGATATTAATTATTTATTATTCCGTGTAATAAAACAATAACCCCTGAAAAAGTAAAGTAAATAATATACCCTCCGTATCCAAGGTATTTTCCTGTTGAGAAAAAGCTCAAATAACTTTTGTAAAGGGCTACTTATCTTGACAAAACTTTCGATGCACACGATTCAGAATGACACAGGCATAGACAAATGTAGCATCGTGTTTAAATCTTATTTACTTTTATAACGATTGTTTACTATTAGATTATTTGCGTCCTACACAGACTCGCCTTTTACCTGATGTTTCCCTTCCCGAATGCCTTATTTATATACTATCCTGATGAGTAATTTTAAAATAGCTGTTCAAAATCTTATTAAGATGGTCGCTTATTTACTCTCTGATGTTTTTACTTTCAATATGCTCGGAAGAAGACACAAATCGTGCTTTCAATTTCTAATTTGCACTGTACGTACATGTATATGATAATTTTTATTCTATCGTTGACCAAGTCTTGGCCAGTATAAGTATTCAAAGATTGATGAAACGTGGTTCTTTATGCTTGTTGGTTGTTAGAGTATATATGCCAGCGCGGTGGATTGAATTTTTTTTTTACCCGGCCCATGATGGCCACCGGGCGAGGTGCTTAACTGTAAAAGTAACTTAGTCAGAATTTCCTTTAGCAACATTTTACATTTGCTCATAGCTTCCACCTACCATACCCTCCCTAATGGATATAATTAATGTTAACTGCTTTATCGAAACATAACATATAACTCTCTACTTAATAAATCAAGACTTGTTTCATTTACATTTTCCAGGTGGAAATGGATTCCTCAACATAATCGATGCGAAGGATGCAACTAACTTAACACATGTCCACAGCGTTCAATTCCATCCAGATTTTGGCAAAGCGTATGCCTCAGATGTGAAGCTGTGCTCTGGGTATGTGTTTGTAACTGTGCAGTTTATGGACAACCCTGATAATGGGATGGTTTCCGTTTTTTCTCCGTTCCAGCCGACCGTTGGGACGATATACAGGATAGTAGATATTGAAGGTAATGTAATTAGCTTTGCGCTTGTCTCGACTATTCCTTATGCAATGGTATCCATACTGAAATGATCGCTATGTGTTTTAATACGAATTATTGATATATTCTTCATCGAAAGCGACTCTCTGTTTTACATTGATATGAAGATCAAGATTACTAAATATCTTATTGGTGATTTAATTCAATTATGCTTAGAATTGAGTAAAAATAGCATCCGTGAATTAATATTTTTCACGTTTACTGATCAGAGGGTCAGCTATTGAAATTGTCAGTTGTTACTGGTAAGTATTTAGACTTGATAATGTATGTTCTCTTTGCTAACAGACTTACCGTATTTCATATATTATATATGGAATAAATGAGAAATGAAAAAAAACTTACCATTAGTTATCAAAGGCTCTCACTAAAATATTTATCCAATTCTTGTAGTCGGATCATATCCAGCACAAATGCAGTTTACAAAAGATTGTAAAACCCTCGTCGTGGCTAATGAGGGAAGATTATCAAAGGCGGGCAATGGGAACTACTATGACGCAGAGGGCAGTATATCTATCGTTATGTTCACCAGCGAGGACTTCACAGTTAGCGAAGTTACCACTTTAGACTTTCAGCAGTATAATGCAAGGTATGTACATGTATTGTCGCCATAAGACCTTAAACATATGATATAAATCTCGAGGATAAATATTGTAATGAGACCTTTATGGATGGTACTGAAAATATGACTGGGCAAATCAATATGTTGAAGTTTATATGGATTAGCAAAGTAGATTCGAGGTAGATGTAAACGTTTAACGCACGTTTTTGGAACCAATACATTATATTTCTTAGACGAGGTTTTCCCAACTTAAAGAAATCGAGGTCATTTGAGTCTATTTATTAAGTGAGGTTTATAACTGTATATGTAATGTGAGCATTTTCTACCTACACTTAATCAGGTAGTCGTATCTTTATGTCGACATCGTCACGACCAACAAGTAAATTAAAGTCTTTGCTAATTATATCCTTTAGCTATATTTGCACAGCATGGTGACCTTCAATTATGCTATTCAATTCTGCATTGCTTATAAACGTGTATTTTCAAACAACAACATATACTGCTATCTAAATAGTAGGAAAGCAGTTATAAGAAATTACTAATCATCAAATGCTGAGACGTGAGATACCAATTCGAAGTCCAGCTGCCTTTACGAAGCAAAATATATCGTCGTATGAGAATAAAAATGTCCCAAGTGCCATTTTTGAAAAAATTGAGATTTTCACAGATTTCCACAATTTAAACCCTTTCTCACTATGATATTCCCTTACCTTTATCTCCTCTCAATAGCCTGCTTTTCAGTGTCAAATTGTCCATAGGATATTAACAAATACAATTTAACTTTGCTCTATGTATCACTTTAACCAATCAAATTGTTTGAATTACACCATGTGACGAATGTAAGAATTATCAATTTACAATTTTAAACTGAGATTTTGATTTATTTTTGAAAATACAAATAGAGAAAGTTGTGTCCATTGGAAATACATAGCAAAAATGTACATAGCTCAGCTTTAATCTTTCGATATTACGAAAAACTCGAAATTGAATTGATATCTCCATTTTCAATATGCTCAAAAATGGGCTTAGAAAATCTCAAAATTCATGGATTCTTCAGTGTATATACACACATTTTTGATACAAATAATGTAAAATTTCACAAATGACAGATATATAGTTTCGAAGTTACAGATGCCTAAACTTTCAAAAATTGATATCTCATTTCGTGAGTTGGGACATTTTTTATTCTAATAGGGTGATATGTAATAACTCGCTACACCTAGAACAGCGATTGATCACGCACACGCATAGTTTCTATTGGCTGCATGCATGGCAGTGTGCAAAATATAAAATAATACAGCATTATAAAAACGTGCACATCCTTGCTACGTATATTCATGTCCTGAAAGATGTTTATAATTTTTTCTCGATCTTTGAAGTCCTTTGAACTTTGTAACATACGTCTTTTTGTCTATATGTTAACCTATACTGCCATCTTTACAACGACAGCGAATCCGTCCCATTAATGCTTATTATACAGCAAATTGAAGTAAATACTACTTAACTAAAAAGTAAATAAAATTATTGTTCTATTTAATATATATGACTATGATTTTTTTCAGGACAAATGAGTACATGGAGAAGGGCGTTAGGTACTTATATAGAGGATTAGACCAGACACCATTAGTCAGTACATTCTCGCAAGATTTAGAACCAAAGTCTGTTACAATTAATACGGCTGAAACTAGGGCATATATAAGCTTACAGGTAAAGCTTAGCTTTTCAATTTTGGTTCCTGTTAGTTGTGTGTATATAGTAGTTGTTGCGTTACAAGTTCAAATAATACAAGTTTTTCTCAAAAATTCATCCTCTATGTACGTAAGGCTCCATACATCAAATACGCGTAGACTGTAATAAAACTCAACATCTTACATGGATGATATTATGTAAGGGTTATTTATCAAATGTTTATTGATGTGATTTTCAAACGTGTGAAGTTGTTGACTATGTTGAATTAAACACTGGTTCGCTGTTACCCCAATTCATTCCTAACTCACACTGCAGCTTCTGAAAACAATATGCATGGATGGTGCAAAACCGGATGGATCCGTAAGCCTCTTCTGCCTCCCCCTCCCCATTATGGAACCCATAATGAGACACCACGCATGCATTAATAGAAGCTTAGGGGTGGTCGCAATGAGATGGTAAACTAAAGGGGCATCCATGCAGCACTGCTTCGCAACTATGAACATGTTATTGACTATACTATCACGGCGTCCAACCCCTATAAAGCCAAGCGGTACTAACGTCGACCGTTAATTTGAATTTTTGACCTACCAGATGTTTGAAAATCAAGGATTGTGAGTCTTATACTGCACCGTTTTCCTTCAAACTTGTTCCATTCAAAGCAATACAAAAGTGCATTTCTGTCTGTGCATTAATTTATTGTAAAGAGTTCCTCGTTTCGCAGCTGTTAGAAAGCTGGGGACCAAAATGCCGTTGGAAGTAGGAACTCTGTTTAATAAAATAATGTACCATGAAAAGGGCATTTTTTGTTATGCTTTGGAACAGGTTTGAAGAACAACAACTATGCAGTGTGAGACTAGCTATCCTTGATTTTCAAACATCTGGTAGGTCAAAACTTCAAATAAACGGTCGAACTTAGTACCGTGTGAAAGCATCCAAAAAAGTATCATCACTGAAAATGAAATAGTTAATGGATTTTTCTATAAATTGGGTAATTAGGAAATTAGTGCTCATTGTACGACTTTTAAACAAGGTATGCTGTCTCACGTCATATATGTTGAACTTTTTCAGGAAAACAATGCCATAGCTATAGTTGATTTGACAACAAAAAGTATAATAGACTTATATCCACTTGGTACAAAGTCTTGGAAGAACAACTGGATAGATGCGTCAAACACTGACGGTAAGTTAATGCAATATACAATCATTCAAATAACAAAAAAACAAAGATTTAGTTCCGAATTCAATCATTATGCAGAGTATTAAATCGAAATGCGGTCCCTATGAATATTCTGGACTAAGATACATCTATTTCAGCTATTTGTTGTGCGAAACGAGACGATATCGTGGTTTTACGTTTCGCATATTGTCCACCTATACGGTACTGCGTAAACAATGCACTTTTACATAGCGTACTTTGCATTACATTTTAAACTACGTGATTTTATCTTTCATAGGTGGATTTATGCAACAGTATGATATTCAAAGTTTCTACCAGCCTGATGGTATGAAATATTTCGAGGCTAACGGAGTGGGGTATATCGCTACAGCGAACGAAGGCGCTGCTAAACACTACAGAGTCAATAAGGTCGGCCTCACCTGGACTGAAATAATTACTGGGAAAACATTATCAGCAGGTAAGAGTCAAAATATATTTTAGAGAAATATGTGTAAATATATTCATGTAGTTTAATAAATGATGTACGAATAATAATTGTATTGATATTTAATCGCTATTATTGTTGTATATTGGTATACATAATTCAAAGAGCATGTATTTAATGATCTTAAGGAAAAAGTTTAAGTATTAAATTAATTCTTCGTCTATTATACACATTGTTTTTTTCAGAAAACATCGTCAGTAAAAGTGTCTCTGGTGCTTTATCGAGTAGTTTAAACACTTACAGCAAACTCGGTAAGTAAATTTTTGCAGGATTTTTTATAAAAGTTCGGACTAAATTCCCATTTAAACCATTTAAAAAAGACTTAGTTAACTTAAATTACTCTTTTAAAGGTCGATCATAATTCCAATGTTAATCACCATCGACCTATATGTTTACAAGATTATATTGTAACGGACTTACCAGTATACTTCAATTTTTGAAAATAAAAAAGGATTGACAATGGAAATACTGTAAACGCATAATTTAATTGTTTAAAACAGGAGGCATGGAGTTCTCCAAATTGGAAGGGGTCGTTACTGAAGACGGTCAGCAGGTTTATGAACGATTCTATGCCTTTGGTGGAAGAAGTATTGCGATATGGCGGGCAGATGATATATCTTTGGTATATGAAAGCGGGAATCAAACTGCAACTGAACACTACAACAAATATTTGTCTATATTTAATGGTCACATGGCTGATCTTGCACACACTCCCAAAGAGGACAAAGACACGCGATCTGCGATGAAAGTAAGATATCCTTTCAAACATTGACTCTTAATTCAAAATCTGATAGAATTTGCATTTGTACAAATATCCTAAAATAAAAGAAGCAAAAGTCCAATGCACCCAGGAGCGGAATTCATCATCAAATACACCGAACTCATGATTTTTTGTTATATATGTAAAGTGGATATGCGATGACAGTACAGCCCTGCTAAATTCAGGTGTCAGCCCAAACTCAGATAGACATGTAAATTGAAATATGCCTAACAGACAATATTATCATTGAAAGGTATGCACTAGAATGTAATGTTTAATATTTCTTTGTACTGATATATTAGGGTGCGGAACCTGAATCTCTGGAAATTGCAGACGTCGGCGACGAGCGTTATATATTTGTCGGGAATGAGCGGACGTCAACTATCATGGTGTACAAAATGTCCAAATCATCACACGTGCCCGTGTTTGAGAGTATCAATAGAGCAGGGAATCTAGACAACTCGTGGACTTCATTATACGAAAACAGAGCAGGAAGAGATGTGGGCGATGGTGTAGGAGATATTGATCCAGAAGGACTTTTGTAAGTTTATTCAGGTTGCATTCGGTAAATTAAACTACTTTGCAATTGAGAATTTGTCCGGCTTTGGAGCATGATCCACTGAAATGTGTTATTGCTCAAAGTAAAATCTTGGATCCATTTATAAATATTTAGAAAGGGATTCGACGTTCAAAAACACACAATGTTATTGATCGGTAACATTAATTCATTTTCGAATTATCAATTTATTGATTTCTATTTACCAATTTGGGATTGTATAACTTTGGTTTGCATCTTGTTTTGTTTTGCTGGTTTTTGATAGTCCATTATAAATTAGTCTAAGTTTCATGAAAGCGGGTATTTTATCTTACAGTTTTATACCATACGACGAGAGTCCGAACTGCGAACCCCTGTTGCTGGTCACTGGGGCAGTAAGCGGGACAGTGTCTTTATACTCTGTTAATGGTCTTCCCGTTCCATCTGAAAGGATTTGCAAAACAGTCACTCAAGGACCCCCATTTGTTCCACCTGAAACGTCCACTAAGTCGACACCAACGGCTCCATCTACCAACACTCCTGAACAGACGACTGCTTCAACAACATTGCCGGGTGAAGCTCCTGGACAGTCGACTGCTTCAACATCACCGCCAAGTGAAGCTCCTGGACAGTCGACTGCTTCAACATCACCACCAAGTGAAGCTCCTGGACAGTCGACTGCTTCAACATCACCGCCAAGTGAAGCTCCTGGACAGTCGACTGCTTCAACATCACCGCCAAGTGAAGCTCCTGGACAGTCGACTACTTCAACATCACCGCCAAGTGAAGCTCCTGGACAGTCGACTGCTTCAACATCACCGCCAAGTGAAGCTCCTGGACAGTCGACTGCTTCAACATCACCGCCAAGTGAAGCTCCTGGACAGAAGACTGCTTCAACAACACCGCCGAGTGAAGCTCTTGGACAGACGACGGTTTCACCAGCACTGCCTAGCGAAGTTCCCAAGCAAACAACAGTCGGCGTAACTGTTGCAAAAGCAACAGTTACCAACAAGTACATTTTTGTCACAACTACTCAAAATTCAAAGATTATATCTACAACAATCTCACAATCTCCTGATGCAACTACCACCCCAACGACCTCATCAGCACAAACGATAACAGCAGGTGTCGTACTCTTCTTCTTCACAACACTTCTAACATTAAGATGTGTTTACTTTTAAAACTGCTATCTCTTGTTGTAGGACATCTATAGATGCAATTAATAATATTAATTCTAACACCACAACATTCAGTACTTTTCTGATCTCCAAGTCTTGAACTGTCTGGCACAGCTTAGTTTCAAAACTGACACTTCACATTTAAGCTATTTAAGGTATTTAGTTTATAATTGTTTTAGATGACCACAGGTGTAAAATAAATTATGGTCCCCCGGGGATTAAGGTCCCCCTTTTTAAAGGCCCTTACTGGCCATGATTGTGTATAAGATGATAAGGGAAAGAAGTCATCATATAAATCAATGGAGAGTAGGACCATAATTAAATTGATAGCCAGGACCTCCTACCCTTTTAGACCTGGTTCAAAAACGAAACTATACGTAAGATGGTGTGATTTATTGAATGTTTTGAAATTAGAAATATTGTTCGTAGCTTGGCAATGTAAAACAAAAATCGTTTATAAACAGATGTCTTGGATTATAAAATGCTTAATTACTTACAGTAATCAACACAAATCACTTTTTAGAGTCTATGGCTCAGGATGGCGGCAAAGAATACTGTATGGCCATGCTATTTTTATGTGTAAATAATAATGTACCTATGTATGTACTATTTTTACAGTCAGTGCCACATGATGTGTAATAAAACATATATATAACATAAAATATATATTGTTTTGTTTTAACCCTTTATTGTTAATATTTTTGTTAGTCATTATATTTATATATTAAAACACTGTATTGTATCGATGACGTCACTAATATTGCCTATTATTATTTCACTATCTAGCTAGCGACAGTATGATTGGTCAAAACCGGGTCACATGTCGTGGGATATCTGGCGATATTCAATCCCACGCTCCCGGGAATTTTCAAAGAATTTGTTTTCGTTCAGTTTAAATAATTTAGTTCAGTGTAAGTTAAAATGGCAGACGCACCGAGTAGAATATATGTATTTCAATGTTAACCTATGACTTTATAATATTAGGGATGTTTAGCTAGACAGTGATATAATAAAACAAATATTTCACTCTATTTTCGGTGAATACCTGTAGCACTTTCACAAGGTGATATTCCACTTGCCCTTCGGGCTTCGTGGAATATCACTTGTGAAAGATGTACAGGTATTCACCTCAATAGAGTGAAATATTTGTTCAGTATAGAGCATTCGAATTCCCATCAAGCTAACCGTTGTCCGCTTGATGAACCGAGCCTGGGATTTAACGGTTTTTATTGGAGATGTCCTTGTTAAGATATCGGTACTTGATTCAACTGTTTATGTTTAAAGGATTGATATGAAGTGATACTATTTTATACAAAGAATGATGTTTTTATAGATATAACCAAAGCATGCCCTGTATACAGTGAATGTTTTAAATCAAAATGGTGACTTGCCAAAAATTGAATATTATGTGGATTAGCTATTACCATATATGGGCTTCTAATTAGAAGTTGAAAGCCCCTGCTATTACCAAAGATACTACACAATTTTACGTGGGGTACTCCATGTATATATTATTCATTTATTTACGTCTCTTATTTCGATAATATCTAAAAGCGTTTCCGACCTTAGATGCGTGTTAGGGACCAGTGCAAAATATCGATGTCGTAAATTAGGGGGAGGGTGTCATTGTCCCAAATAGTTAAGCTCTGTCGACATCGATTATTGAATTCCCGGTAATTTTCGTCATGGTCATTTCGGCCAGTTATCCGGGGGATACCAACTTGAATTTGGAAATCAATAAAAATGATTACACACAATTAATAAAATAAAAAATATGATGAACTCAAGGGCATTCGGATATACTTTTGAAAATGCCACGAGGATCACCATTTCCCATATTAAGATAACAGTGGAAGGGGGTGTTAGTAAACTCTCCTACATTGAACTTTTGCACTGGTCCCTTACTTGTGATAAAAGTAAATGTCAACATAATATTTAAACGAGTTCTGGACATGCTTTACCCTTAAAATAGTGGAGTTTAATGGATATTGATACATATTGTACAATGTATTTCCAAGTTTGTACATTCCGCCTAACCCAAATAAAATTTGGTCAAAATGTAATAGGTGGTTTACATATACAATGCCCCTGGCAATGCACAAATTAATACATCAGAAAATTATCTCAAATTGATCATTACTAAAACAAGCAGTGTAGTACTATTTTCTGTTCATTCAATAGAGTGCATGAGCGGTGCGCTAGTCATATTATCCAAAACAAATGATACTTAGGTGAAACTAAATTGAACAACAATAGTGTTTATTCTAATGGTGTAGGTCGTATACTCATGTGTCATGAAAAGCTACGTACCTTAAAAAGTGTTAGTCAAACGAAGGAAAACATCTCTTGCTAAAAAAAACGTTGCTATTAAAGAGGTACAACAATATATGAGGATACTGCTGACAAATTCAACTTGGATATCGATGGATATATGATATACATGGAGCAATAATATACATATGGCGTTTGTTTAAAGTGTGCGGGTATAGCCGTTCGTTTTGTGTGCGTTAGATGCATGTGTGTCCATGTGCAGTATGGCAAGTGATTTTAGACAGTTATATCTTTCACCATGAGTACTTTCTGGTCATAAGTACTATGTTTTTTATAAAACAATATTTCTCTTTCAAGTGAAGTACCCTTGATAATAAAAATATCAATCGGACAATTCGAAAAATTATGAATAGGGACCCCGTGTCAACTATTTTTTCAAAATTGAGAACCTATTTACTAAAAGAGGATCTTCTTTTTCTGATTTTAATTGGCCACTGATGGAAACATTATTCCACAAGGGGTCTAAAACTTCTTCAAAAGAAGAATGGTATTGGAATTCTAGTTTCGAAGATAGACATTTTCGATGACCAAAGTTATGTTGAAAACAATGGATAGCACAAGTTTTCCCTATGGGAAAATAACATGGGATGTTTGATTTTTAACTTTAACGCATTTTAATATCCATTCCCTTTTCAGATATTGTTAATATATAGAAGAAGAAACGTTCCATATGTTTAATTTGAGAAAAGCAAGACTCTCTTTTTAAAAAACAATCCTAATGTTTTTAAAAAAGTGCCAAGGTGGGGTCCTAAACCATACTTTTTCAGAGAGTTGGATTGATATTTTACGATTATATGTACTTCACTTGAAAGAAAACATATCGTTATAATACAAACCACTGTATTTATGGCCAGAAAGTACTATGGTGAAAGACTGACTAATAATAATGTTACTTTGAATCTCCGATCGTTCTGATTATTGAATAGATTAAATCATATAACTATACCGGAGGGCTGATGGAAGATCGGAAGCTGAGAAATTGTCATTTAGTGTCACGATTCACGCGAGGTTCATCAGTATTTGTTGAAATTTTGTTCCGAGTTATCGTCAGCCAGTTTGAATCCATCATACGCTATGATGTAATTATCGAACAATGAAATTGGCGGATCGTGACCTTTGACTTTGCAATCTCCGGACGTTTCCTTCAGATTAATCGACTCGTTCGGCGGGCAAATGAAAAGTTGTCCCTTCCAAAGCGATCCATCATGGCAGATATTTATGTAAATTACCACTTGAACTAGTATCGCGAATTGGAGTATTAACTTTGACATGGAGACATATATTAGACAATAGATTTTAACAGTAAATAATCCAAGCTTCTACATGTATGTCTAAAATATCATTTTCCTTCAGTGATGCCTGGGTCACATTTGCTCCGATCCATCGGCGATTGAGTGTTTTGCTCAATATTGTATTCACTTTTGAACAAAATACTCAATCGGCCGGGCGCTGTCGTGAAAATCGGGTCAAATGTGACCAAGGCATTAATGGAGTAAGGGAGCTATATGGATTAAGCAACCTACCTCTAAGTTCATTACTTTGAGTAGTAGAGCCCTTGGGGACAATGTAATGCGTGTATGTGTTTACAGTTAGTATGTTCGTTTTGTTCATGTTCGTATGTTGAAACGTAGTAAATCTAGATCTATCAATGACAAATTGTTGATACTTAGTATCAATCACGACCGATCAAATATAAACGTTTACCGAATAATTAAGTCTATCATTTTGCCAAATAGTTGGTACAATTCAGGGTCCAGGTGAATGTTTGCTAACAAAACCATTGGTCCTCGGATACTGCTGGTTCCGCATTGCTTATAGGAGATGATGCTATAAACATGGAATTCTTACTTTATCATGAACATATAAGCACAAATGCCAAAGGGCGCATGTGTTTTTTCTATTATATTATAAAAATATAGTTTAGTCGGAGAACCTCATAAAGGGTACCCTGCGCGCAGAGTCTAGCCAGTTATACTTAAGACGAACGAAGCTGTCTTTTGAGAAGCGAAGTCGAGCGAGTGCAAAGGGTACATAAAAGGAAGCTTTACAACTTTAAATAATTCAGTGAGATTATCAATCGCGACAACTTTAATAACTAAAACAATTATTGTAGGCAAAATCTGCGAACAGTGATATCGTTCTGAACCTAACACAATATGAGCTTGCCCAGAGGAAAACCGGTCTTATCACAAAAATTAAAATTGTTCTACAGAGCCAAAATTGTGCCCAAGATTAAGAGGGAAATGTGCTAAATTCAAATCTGACATGTTGGTCTATATATGCATGGGAAAATTGTTAAAACATTAGGCATGGCTCATTTGAAAGGTCTCTTTGTGCTTTTTAAGATAAACAAAAAATAAGAATATTGAACAAATCTGTGATAAGACCTCTTTTCCTGTGGCCTGGCTCATACATTACTCACTCTTCCTAGTCATACATTGTGATCGTTATTGTTTAATACTTCAACATTCGTCAACCATTCAAAGGTGCATTGTGAAATCTCAAATCAATTTAGGGTTTATTGAATCACATGTTCAACAAAGTATTTATATAGCTTAAAACCGGTTTAAATAAACCAAAGCACAAATGCCGCCCAATCAGGCTGACATGAAAAGACAGTACAGAAATGTGTTGAATCAACAAATCACCGCATACAGGACAAACAGAAAGCATCCAAGTGTTAACCGCAAAGTACTGTCACGGTGTCTCGAGTAACCGACCAAGTTCACTGGTGATCTGGAATATAACTGATAAACGCACTATACAGGTAGGGAGGGAATTGAGTAAAGGGGGTAATTCAGTGACTTCTTTTATCGATCTTGTCTATAATATTTTTGTCAGTAACAAATTGTATACACAGCTCATATTTACATATCAAATCAAATATCGGTGAGGGGTCGCATTTGAAATCAAAGCGACGAGCGAGCTCGAGCCTGAAGGTCATATAAGGTTTCGCTGGCTGCCGTGTGTTTACATGCATAATATTATACCAATGCAATACTGTATTTTATTTTGTTCTGGGATATGTTTTTTGATACATCTTAATATAAAAACGTTCACTGGTCTGTTTTGTCATTCTCTCAAGTTCTATAAAATCGTGGCCAGCTACATATACGTGATTGTATGAACATGATTTTTAGGATTTACAGAACAAGAACATGTAAAGTACATTTAAATAGCACACATTGGAATTGAAATCTATAATACTAGTTCATGTTGATGAAAGGATTGTGAATAGGTACACTTAATAGGCCTACCTCAGGGGTGTAGCATTTGTTTACTCTAGAGTCAACATTACTCACCATTTGGTGAAGCACGATGCGGGGATTTTCGGAGTAAACTGTATGAATAGACTCCTAATATTGTTAAAATCAGACCCTTAAAAATTAATGAATATTTATAAAGGGTACATTTAATTATTTGGTGGATATATATTTTTATTTGCAAACATTTGGTTTGTTAGGGTCAGGGTGCATGATAGGAAATTTTCTGCATTCCTCAATTGAGTCACATGTTATTTTTCAAACAAGAATCACTCCTTCTCAACATTGTTTATATCTTCCAGGTTTGCATAAAGAGTGCACTCATGTGCCTAGAAAAGACTTGTGAGAAGATTTGTTTTGTAAAATATATAAAAAACGCAAAAATTCAGTGAAAAAAATTTGAAAATTTTCTAAACGTTTTCACTGAATTTTCTTGTTTTTTATACACTTTATCAAAACATTCTTCTCACAAGTCTTTTCTAGGCACATAATTGCACTCTTTGTGTAAAACTGGAAGATATAGACAATGTTGGGAAGGAGTGATTCTTGTTTGAAAAATAACATGTGACTCAGTTGAGGAATGCAGAAAATTTCCCATCATGCACCCTGACCTTAAATACTGTACACAGATTTCTTTATAGTTTTTGAAGCAAATGCGCATATCGACACCTTAAAGTTCAGAAGAGTCATACACATTACTGAATTACAAAAAAATATGATACCAGGATCTAAAACCTTACATTTTAAAACGATTTAAAACATATTTTTGTTAATAAGTTTATTTATTTCATGTTTTGTTTCAGAAATGAAGGCCTTTATAGTCATTTTAATCGGACTTGTTTTGCTATATGATACAGGTATGTTTTAAACGCTTTCATTGTAACAGAGTCTAAAGAGTTTTACTTCATAGGCTACTTTTCACTGAAGACAAGCCATAACTTTTAAAACTGCATGCGGTTACGACATATCGTATTGTTTATTACATATTTATTTATTTATTAGGATAGAACGCTTGTAATAGAGAGCGGTGGTATTGCTATTTAGATTGTATTCAAGATACGAATGTCAAAAAAACATTTGAAGTTGAGACTGTTGAGGATTATTTGAATAGTTGGGCAAACATCTGATTATTTAGTTGGCCCAATTTATAAAAATAGGCCTAACATGAAATATAATACCAGTCATGTACAACTCCGTTTGAGGATGCACTTAAAGGACAACTGAAATAGCTTTTCTCAACTTGCAGCTACAAAAATGCGGTTTCCTCCATTGTAAGCCCACCGTAGAGTTCTTGCGATAGCCATTATAAAATAAATGTTAGATAACTGCTAACGGTCATATAAACCGAAATAAAACTAACTGATAAATCAAATTGGCCCCCACGTGATTAGTAACGTCATATACAAAATATAGCTTTGGTTTATTGGTTCCATAGTAATTACAACGTCACTGCAACCATAGGATTGTTGTGTAAACAAATAACAAAACATTTTGGCATTATGACGTCATGATCTAATGGACCAAAACGGGCCACGTGGGGGCCAGTGAGAGATCACGTGGGGGCCAATAACGTCACAACCAATTCGGATATTGCTTATTAAGCAGCTATAACGATCGTTAGAGTGAAATAATTTTCACACTACTGATGAGAAAACATGTCCAAATACATCTATCAAAAAATTATATTGATTCCTATAGGTTAAAAATACCATTTCATATCTGCTTTAACATTAGTGATCAACATTAATAAATACAAGCTTAACAACTAATTACTCACTTCTCTTCTTTCCTTTTCTTCTTCAAAGCGTGAGAATTTCATTGAACTAATTTAACCCTCTAATGCCTGGGTCATTTTTGCCCCGATTCATCGGCCGGCGCCCGGCCGATAGAGTAGTTTGTTCAACAAGTCCTCGTCACAATACATTTTCATTTTGTGTTTGCAATAACAGAATTCTGCATTTAGAACATATATAGGGAATAATTTTTGTATAAATATTAACCTATGATATAGTATTACCATAAAATGGTCCACATCATTTTTTTTCACATCACTTAACAAGTATCCATATCATTGTAGACGCTCAAGGTCAGAATGGAACCACTGCTGTTGGGCCTTGCCCTGCTGTCGATCCCGAGGCTGCAAAGGCGATTTCTTCAACAACCAAAGTGACATTACTAGTGACTAATACCCTCAGCTATCCGATACGATTTATTTGGATTAATTTCGCTGGTGAAGAAGCATATACTCAACAAATATCTGAAGGGGAACAAGTTCCCGTATATACCTACGCAACACACTCATGGGTTGCAAAAGCTTATACAGTTGCTAGGCTTGAAATAAATGGCTCGTGTGTATTTACAACGGAATACAACAATAACGCATCCGTCTATTTAAGCATCTCGGGTGAGATTTGCAAGTTTGTATATGTTTCATTAGTACCAAGCTTTAATGTTTAAGAACCCCTATTCTTTATATTGAAAATGAATTTTACGAATACTATCCAACATGAATCTGCTTGTTGAGACTCGCTGAAGTCATCAACTTGAGTTCTTCTGAGATAATGAGGATGTTGCATATATCCTCATAATGATATGATATCCCCACGTCAAATCCATGGTTTACATATATATCCCCATGTTAAGTCAATAAATACACCCTTGCTGACGTTGTCATCATCTCAGAAAAACTGAAATTGATTGAGTCTCAACAAGTGGAAGTGTGGTTCTTAAACAGGACATTTGGGTTGATTTTTAGAGTTTTTGTTCGCTCATGTTTTCTTTTGTATTTATGACACGAACGTTAGTGTGCGCGTCTTTTTAGGTATATTTAAGAGAGTTTGTCTTTATTTGTTTAATTTTACTTCGACATTATTCTCCACACTAAAAAGACTTGGTTTTCGAAGTAACGCCAATTATTCATGTTAAGTCACTTGGTACATTCTACGTGTCAAATTGAATTTTGGTATACATGTCTATACGAGGGTTGTCCCAGAAGTAATGCACTATATGCTCTAACTTTATCAATAATTGATATTTTTCCATGAAATTTTCAGTAAATGTTCCTTAGAGACATTTTGATTATTCTAAAAAATTTCATGTTGACTGATAAAACTATATTGATGTTATAATAAAATCAAGTTGGTGAGTTTGGGTAGGGTGGGGCAGGTTATACAGTAATGTCAAAAGGAATAAAAAATTGAAAATATGAAATGATTAATCAACAAATACCATTTGGTTTAGCTATAAGAAGTATGCTCAAAAATACATTTTAAGATACTAAATTACTATGAGCACATCCTAGATTTAATGGATGTATATTGCACAGTGTCCCATTTCACATTTTCTCAAAATATTGCCCTTTGCATGTTATGTTCTTTTGATGCCTGTCAGGTCAAACACTCTCGGCAATTTCTTTCACTGTGACTTGTGGAGTTTTTGCCTCCCATGTTTGGAGTTATCATACAGGGTCAAATCGTCTCTTTTGAATCTCTTCTGCCACCCCATAATTGTAGTTCTATCTGGTATATACTCCTTATATACTTTCTTCATGATAGCATTGTTTTGAATGGTTGTGAGTCTAAGTGAAGTATGAAATTAGGCCACCAAACGCAAGGCCTTCTGTTATCAGGTGAGAATTGCAGCCATTTTTGCAATTTCTTGACTGTGACTGTATTTGAATGTGTGACTATTGAAATGTGGTATTATGACATCACAGTGCTAAATGTCATTATTCGTACTTTGGTAACATCATGCTGAATAAATTTAACAATTTCCCAAACATTTTGACCATTTAAAGGAAAGAAATATTGATAAAATAACACTTTAGATCTTTTCATAATTAGAAAAAAAAATTGGTACCTGCCCCGCCCACCCCTACCCCCATGTTGTTATAGCAACCATATCCATATTAAGACTTGATATTAATGTTGGATGCTGAAACTTCAGGATATAATAGATAAAGCTTCAATTGTTATATACACAAAATTTCAGCTGAATTGAAGAATATTAAAGAAAGTTAGAGCATATACTGTAGTGCATTACTTCTGGGACAACCCTCGTATGACTCCAGATATGACCCTCTTACCCATTCATCGCCGCAGTGCGATTAATATATTTAAAGGAATACCAATATAGTTCTAATTGTTACATGATTACGCAAACGATTTCCTTGATATTGCGTATGCTTATTTAAGATTAATATACGCGTACACGGTGCATATTGTAATACTATCATATGAAATACATAATTGTGCTTTTCTTATATTTATAGATTCCGAAAATAACCCAGGTATGTATGTGTTGCGTTTACTTAGTCCTTCCTTGTCATTTCTTCATCCTGGGTAACACTAAGGCGCCCGTTCTCGACGTGTTTCGAAATAAAAAGTAAAGATGAATAGTAGTTTAATCTGAAATGATAGCCAATGATTGTTAAGATGGCGACCATGAACCCTGTTTAATTAAACTAATATGCAGTGTTTAAATAAATATCTCAAAAAGCTAGATTCTTGTGGTGGTTTAACTATGACCATTGTAGCTGTTTTGCTTCATTAGACATTGGTCACACAATTCCTAAATGTTAATTCATTAAAATCCTACCGTCATCGACGAGTTAACCGATATTATTTCATTTTTCCTACAATTCCAGGAGCTCCTGAGACTGTTGAACAAATGACATGCCCACCAATAGAAGCAGGACTCCTGAAATCTAATACCTCTAAAACACCTAAAAAAGTATATTTCTCAAATGATGCTACGGAGACCGCTCAAATTCAATGGATTGGAATGGATGGTAAAGTCGGATACTATGCCGATATTAAGCCAGGTACAAATGTGTTGTCGTTATTGAATGATTCTTGTGTTGCGAGTCGTGAGTTGTGATGTGCTTTTTATAATCATATGTACGAGTATTCTTGAAAAAAATTGTTTCATCGTTCGATACCCTTTCGATTGGTTTTAACGGTGACTAATTAAAGCTATTTGTGATCCCCTAGGGGTGTTATTCATTAATTTTGATTTTAGGTGTTACCATATTCATTTACACCTACGTTAGTCATGTATGGATTGCCGTTAGAACATCCGACTTTAGCAGACTGGCAATCGGCAGTAGTTGTTCTTTCAAAGTCATAGATGGCTACTATACGCAATATGTCAGCATAACAAGTAAGTATATGATTGCTAAATCACAAAAAACGATTAGATGCACTGCATTGTTTTATATAGCCTTTTTATTGACCCATTACATTGTGGCTACTACGACTTGTGGCTAATACAGCAACTCAACCCTGGAAAATTATTTCTGTTATCCGTTATATTTTGATGGATTGATAAGATATTGCATGTTGAAAAGTATGTGAAAAGTTCGTAGGAATATATATGAAAGGTATGAAATATAAAAAGTGACTAATACTAGATAAACACTACCTAGAACACACTGACCCTCTTTTTAAAGAATTAAAGATTCTAAACATTTTTGATATCAACAAACTCAATACAGGTATTTTTATGTACCAATATTCAAACAATAACAAAGTTATAACATCACTTCAAAGTAAACCTTTAGAAAAGAACAAATATCTACATAGCCATAATACACGCCAAAGGGAAAACTTTCATATTGATACTTCTGACAAATTCTCTATAAGACACCATGGACCTTCCCTTTGGTCCACACTTGATGACACAATTAAACAAGCAAATAACTTATCCCATTTCAAGAAATCTTATAAATCAAACCTTCTTTCAAGATATTAATGATACCAGTTTAAATCAATCTCATTAGGCACATCATCACATTTAATTGTATTTTATTGTATCCCTGTAAATTGCATGTACATAGTGTCGGCCACTAGGGCTAGTTACCTTTTTATTGTATACTTTTTTAAGCTCTTGATTAATACCAATATATGCCCTTTGGTGTCTCGGTATTTGTCATGCTGCATTTTTGTACATGCTTTTTATAGAATTAATAAATAATAATAAATATCGTGAGCATTCCATGATCTAAAATACGATTGGCCACATCTCTCTCGTGTACTATAAGGTATCTACAAACCTCATTACAGATCCAGTGAAACGTGAGTGCCCTCGTATGTCCAAAGATATAGCAGCTAAACAGTCACAGATGCAAGTGACATTGAATGTCAAGAATGAGAAGACAGAAGCAATTAGGATGCTCTGGATAAACTTTGAAGGTACGGGTAAAGAACAAAAACTTCATAGAATCACGTATCATAAAGTATAATGATAGTAGCTCCGTTGTGATCCATCATTCATAAGGGAAACGATTGTGTTGTAACATGTGTGAATGATTAAATTTTAATTTTAGGTGACGTCGCATGGTTTTTCCAAATAAATGCAGGAGAGGAACGAATTATCAACACTTTTGCAACTCATCCTTTCATTGCCGCGACGCTGTCTGGACAGAGAGAGGCGATCAACGGAGCATGCTATTATGTCACCCCTGCCAGTGCTGGCGAGCAGTCATTGGTTATTAAAGGTTTGTTTCTTACATATGCTCTTGCAATCAAACCCTCTCTTTTTTGTCCAAGGAGGATACACCTGGTTTTCGCTCTGTTTCGTTTCGTTAATGATGCGGCACAATTCACGTTTTGATCCTATGTTTTCTAGGGGAGAAGGCTAGTTTGTGCCAAGAACTAGATGGCACTATAAAAACAGGGGATACTCCCTCCGGTGGAAACAACGTAAGACTTTACTTCGAAAATCAGGCATTGATGGATGTCGTCATCCAGTACATCGATACCAATGGAGATGTCACTAGTTTCAAACAGTTCGTTCGAGAAGGGGATACCAGCTATGTGACCACGAAACGGAACAGCACTTTTATCGTACGCGCAGACCACGATGACACTAAATTGTTTATTGACAATAAGTGCAGCATAACAGTTGATGTAAATGCGGGCACTGTCAACACCGTAGTAACTGGTGAGTCGCTTGCATTTAATGAAGTGGTATACCATTTTGTAGTTCTGGACGTATAATACTGTGTTCCGTCATTCGCTGTTTTGAGTTATTTAGTAATGTCAAAGGTCAAAATTAATAGCAACTCAGCCAATTGGGAACAGATAACACGTACATATATACATACAGCCTGTCAACAAACAATAAAATATCCGCCAATATATTTTCTTGATATTTCAAATGAATGTCCCGACAGCTTACAACACAAATGAAGCTATCTGTCCATCAGTCAGCGAAATAACTGAGAGACCGACAGAGACAGATAGCGAAAGAAGTTTAGACGTGACAAATCATGCTCGTAAAACAGTCAAGCTGTACGCTGTTTCGTCAGATGGAACAACGATACTAATGTGAGTAGTAGAGGCTAGTCCAAAAGTATCATTGGTTGATTGGATTGTATAGGCAGTGTTTATCCAAGTTCAAGATTCATCCAACATTTTACCAAATCGTGCAGTAATCAATCGTATATAAACAAACGATGGTTTCTATCTTGTCAATATGGTTATTATATGAAGCTGACGAGGTAAACATGAAACTTTTGAAAATGTCGAGATAGACAGATACACATTTCCAGAATAGCTCAAACTTTTCTTAAAATAGTCCAGATGCTTGACATGTCACTGATTTTTGGACGATGTTAATCAAGATGTCTACACATTAAAACACATACATAAATGCATTATTCCAGAAAGTCCATCGAATCTGGTTACACAAGGGATGTCACGGTAAATAAAGGCGATCCCATCATAGCGATGGTTGAGAATACTAATATGAGAATCAAGCTCAATGACAAATGTGTATACGTCGTTGCAAATACTCCATTTTCCCAGAAAGTGGACCTTGTACCAGAAGGTAATTACAAAATGTAACATCTTTAAAAATATGAAATCCGGTTCTTCAGATGTCGACAACAAATCTATATGAGAATGATTCATTAACTAGTATTTAGTAGGTATGTTCACCAACCCCATTCCAATACACTTTTGTTTGTCAACTACTTAAAACTTAACGGTTGATTTTGTCCAAACATTGCCAACATCAACTGTTGCTGATGCTGCCATTGCCCTAGCTACATGGACGAGGCCGTTCAATAAGTTCCTATTGAGAATTCGTATAATCCACTAAAAATGTAATACTGATTTTCAGGAGCTCCTCGTATGCCTGACACGTGTAGCCCACTTGATGGCAGTTTATATAGGTCCATCTATGTTGACTACCCTAAGTCGATCAAAGTGGTGAATATGCTGAATGAACTTGTGATATTTCAATGGGTAGATTATCAAGGAAAAGCGGGCAAATACCAGGTATATATCAAATATAAAAAATGGAAAATTTTCAGAGTTTTGGAGTTGAAAGGATGTGTCTGGATATACGCCCCTTTGGTCCCTCAGTCAAATGTATGTGAAATATGGTTTTTATTTCTGTCCTAGTTATATTTGATAAGTATATTTACTTTTTCATGAGTTTTGATGCATAATGTACCCCCTGCTGAGAGTCATAATTATTATTTTAACAAATAAAAAAGGGTCATTATCATAGAAAAACACCAATGGCAACATGTATGACATACAAAGAAGAAATAACTTAAGATCCATGAAGAATTAAATAGAAAATCATATTTTTGAAATATATTTAAGGATTAAAATCTTTTTCAAATGGCTGCCATTTGATGTAAGAAATATCAGAAAAAGTTGCTTCACTTTGAGTTTTCACATTGAGCACAGTTTTCCGGTTTAGGTTTTTTGACTGATTCTGACTCTTCATCACCAGGGTCATGTATAGAGATTATAAAATTGAAACCAAAATGTTGTGCTCAGCATGAATTTGAATGAAATATGTGTATCTTCACCAACACAATTGAAGTGTCAAAACTGGATGATCAGTTCCTTTGAGTGACTATAATCCCTTGATTACCCAGATAAACACCAATTCACTTATCCAGAAATACCATTCAATGTCTATACAAAGAAAGCAAGCAATGTTTTGGAGGATATGTTTCACACTTTTTGTATAAATTATTCATTTAATATTTGCCATTGATTTTTTTTCAATTCTGACAAAGTGATAAGCACTGTCTTTGATCCCAATATTCTTCATCGATCGTGATACAAATTGATATTTTTGTAATCTCATAAGAAGGATAAGATATTGAAGTTAAATAATATGTGTGATTGAGTTGGTTTTTCAGACATTACAATTTTCAATATTTTCCAAGTCGATACCCAGACTCATTCCCAGACTCATCCTTTGTCAATATGAAAACCGAAGATATGACATTTCACGAATACTATTTTCTTTAAAAATGTATCTGCATTCCGGAATAGTAGCCTAGGTTCCAGCCTGCTACTTTAGGCCGAATGTTTATTCTAACAGGCATTGCGTAATACAAACTCTTTTTATTTGTCAAAATCATATAACATGATGGAAATAATGCATTAACATGCAAAATGTCACCACCTGCGATTTGTTATGCCAGAGTCAAATTTGGTCCGACTCATCGGCCGGTGCCCGGTCTATAGAGTTTTGAACAAAATGGTCAATCGGCCTGTACAGTCAATATGGTACAACGAAAATGGAACTTCTGCGCATGTTAAAATTTTTCGTCAAAACTCAACTTTTGTTCAAGTTGATACGATTGTCTTTTGAACTAGAGACTTACCTCATTCGAAAGATCATAAAAGACTTTATCTATGCTGAAAATCTTAGATCCAAACATAGTAGAATACGCCGTCAGTCCGCATTTGATTTTTTGAAGTGAGTTTCGTAGATCGTCAGATTTCTCCGACTGATATCGGGTTATCTCAAATTGGTTCGTTTATAAATACAAATTTCTTTACCGTTGTAAGGCGCATGCGCAAAATTGATTTATAAACTTGATTGGTTGATGGTTTTTCTCCTGAGCATGCGTGAAGTCTGATGAACACTTATGACGAAGACCGGAGCAAACATTACTAGCTCTCAAACGAAATTCCAAGATTCAGATCATTTCGCCGTGTTTGCTAAGCGTGTATACGTGAATGACAAGCTGTTTTGAGTAGATCAGGTACCTGTTTTAGACACAACATTGATTTAGCTTGACATTGATGTGCACATTGGCACTTTTGAGCATGTTAATACAAGTTTTTACACTCTTAGCAGAAGACCGGTTTTCGAAAAATCTGTTATCTGATTCACTCGATTATCGTATGGATATGTATTTCTGCTGACATTTCAACACCACATCACATAGAATTACGATGCAGAATGATAATAAAACACAAAACAACTACTAAATTCCACTTGTTATTTCACAGGAGGTAAAATTGCACACTGCCTAGATTCTTTGTAAGGGTCGTCAGACATCGGATTGGCCGCCATATTTGAAATGAAAATATCACTAAATAGAGGTTTGCGCATGTGTCAACATTTCGACTGTGTAGCCGCCCGATGAATCGAAAAAATGTGATCAAGGCATTACATACACTCATATCCGAAAGCCAATTGGCGTATTCCGGACACAGATAATTGGAAACTGTTACAATATGTCACCACTTGTGGTGATGACATAACATTAAATGCCAAAAGCCAGTTTCTAATAATATGCGTTTTGTTTCAAGGATGTAGTTCAACCAAACGGAGGTATCATTCGACTTGGCGGTTATGGGTCTGCGCCTTTCATTGCAAGGACGGAGAATGACGAACGCGTTTTGCTGAATGGTTCTTGTGTTCTTACTCTCCAGAACACATACCTGAATAATTCATTAATATATCTGACAGGTAAGAATATATCGCATGTTTCGGTTGGTCAAGTATGTACGTTTGCAGAAGCACCATAACTACGTTGATAAGATTAACTAAAAGAGCTAGCCAAAAGCACATTTTGTGGTGTATTGGGCATCGATGTCTGCCCTGATATGATTCAAGATAGTATCGCTTTCTTAAATTCTGACACAATAGACCTTTCCAGTAAATCCTGACCCCTATTTGTGAACCAAGGAAACTAGGGTATATTGGCTAGATTTATGATGTCATACTTTGCAGGCAGCAATGTTTGTAAACAAAATTGAAATAAGTTTTTGAAAATTAGCAATATTTTAATCCTATTTCTGGACTGAAATTGTAAGAATGACATCATAACCAATAGATGGCATGATTTACTGGATTGGTCTATTGTCTATACAGTGGCGTAGCCAGCAATTGGTGACCAGGGGTTCGATTTTTTATGTATCCACAAATCTCCCCTATCATCGGTGAACCTCACATAAAAGTATTTTTTGTATTTGTCATACATACAATTTACCCCCATCCAAAAGTTTGGCAACAAGATATTGAAATCTGGTAGCAAAATCATACATTTTATATAACAATTGTTTAATTGTTCAATGAAATCCAAATCAAGGGTTGGCATACATTGAGACAACTTTTGTAAAGGGCAAATTACAACATATCTCTAAGGAACATATTTTTTAACGAGCTACCATTGAAAAATCGTCATTCCCAATTCATCATTCAAAGATATGTCAAATTCTGGCATGCGATTCCCACACTTTTAGATGATTTTTGAAAAGAATCCAAATCAAAAGAATTTTATCTGCCATTTCATTTTGTAATAGAGGAGTTCATAATGACCTCATGAACTTACAGTTAGTTTCTGAATACTAGTATATCCAAAAGCAAATATTTTTGAAGAATGTAATACTTATTTAATCATGGCGCACAATAAAAGTCGTAATGGCTGCACGAATACTCTCAATTGGTACTGACGATAGAAGTGACAGATGGCAAATAGTATTGTATTAATGGAATGAAACATAGGTTTTAAAAAAACAAATTGAAATAACAAAATATCCACTGTGCTCTGTAGGCTCTAACATTAAACATCTCTCTTAAATTCCAATGCCTTGCAACAAATAAAGAACAACTAATGCTGAAAAACTTATTTGTTGTGCTTTTTGAGAAATGAAAACATTTTAGATGAACTTGTGAATCATTATAACATGTATAAAAGTTAATTTGTTTTTGAGAAATGAACATTTTATTATCTTATTAAAGAATGCTGTAAAATCCTTTTTAGACACACGATTTGAAACTTGTGGTAGGCTAATCCTCTCGTCTTTCTGGCAAATACACTCCCCTCCAAAAGTTTGGCAACCTTAGCTCCCTGCTTCCTCTTTATATTTGAATTTTTATTTACATAACCTGCGAAGAAAATACTTATAATAATGATGAAAATGTAACTTGACTTCATTTCCAATGCCTCCAAAATTTCCCAATTTCCCTTTCTTCTAAAGATGAATTTTTGAAAATCGTCATTCCCATGTAAACCAAGGGAAACCAATGGGCTCTTTATTTAATTAGTAGATTAGATTCAACCGCAGGCCATCTGTAATTAGGTCTTTGAAGTTTAAAAATCTCGATAATCTGTTGGCAATTAGATATCATATAAAACTTTGAACAACGGTATGATAGTTGAGTTTTGAACATTTTTCATATGATTGAATAATGGATTGTTAAATAAACTTTTTATGATTAAAAATTATCGATCGTTTACATAATCAAACAAATTACGATCGTATTTTCAGCAAAACGAGATGAGCGAACAGCTCCTGTTGATGGGACATTTGCGACTCAAAAGTTTAGCCCTCAGGTAACGATGAACATTGAGAACACGCTTGACAGAAGTGTCAAGGTGTTTTGGTTGAACTTACTGGGACACCCGTCCTGGTCAATGACTGTAGCTGCAGATTCTACGACAACAATTTATACTTCTGTTAGCTCCCCTTGGATTGCGAGAGTTGCCGGGAGTAGACAACGACTGCTACTAAATGGCCGCTCGATATTAAGAATATCGGACTCTAGAAAAGTTGAGACTGTCACCATAAGGGGTAAATAATACATTAAAATGATACTGTAAATATCATTTCTCCCTTATACCACTGAGACCAACATATTGAAAAACAACCGTATATGACCTTTTTCCTGACTTAATTTAATATTTTCGTGTTCCAGGGAATGGTAATTTCTCTCTCGACATTTCTCAATTGAACACCCTTAGTTTTTAGACACTAGTAAGCCTGTCATTATATTGTTGTGATATTCTTATTTAACCATGACCAGTTGTATACATGTTTATATTTGAATAGCACATAGGTAAAACTGACAAAAAGTTCATTGTGTGCAATTTTACTTTGTAAAATATTTACTACTCAACTTACAGATGAAAACAGCCCATACTGCCCAAAAGCGGATGGGGCACTCAGATCAAAATCCGGTAATAATCCCGTCAAGCTGTACATCACCAACACTCTATCATACTCAGTAAATATGTACTGGTATGACTACAGTGGTAATATGAAGAAAGCTCTCTACATTCCTGGAAATAACTACACCAGTTGGATGAGTACTGCCGCCTCTCATCCTCTCAGTGTCAAGAGTTGGTTCTCGGGGGAACAATTACTGATCAACGGTAGTTGCTTCTTTACAGTTCGTAATGACGCTGATGTTCAATGGATAGAAGTTACGGGTAATGACTTATTTTTCTGTTATATTCAAAAATGAACTGCCAATCATAAATCACACATTTACTTTTAATAACTTGTCTTTGGAATAGAGTTATGTTTTGTGTAAGATTTGGTTATCGACGAAAATCTAAATTATCGTATGATCTGTAAAATAAAGCCCTCTGATTGGTCAGTTCTTGTACTGTACCAATCTGTATTGCTACTGAGATTGTCCCCGTTGATCATCTCCATAGCAATACAGAAAATATTGGTACGGAGGCGGGGACAATCTCAGTAGCAATGGTGAGAATACCCAATAATGCTTAGGGATTATCTCCTGAGTAAAATGTATTGGCCTAAGATAACACGATAATAACGTTATTAAATAATTTGAAGTGCATTACAGGATTGTACTTTAAATCATTCAATAACTTATTATATCAATAAATGGCGATGCGTCATTCGTTCATGATTATTAGTATGTATTGGAGGAAGGGCTTGAAAACTGGATGTATGTTAATTTTATGTAGACAAAACCAGAGATATCGGATGTCCCTCAATCGCAAACAGACAAACCAAATCAACTGGGAGCTCAAGTCAAACAACTAAGTTCAATGTAACAAACAACGCCAATACTCCTGTCAACCTAGTATGGATGAGCTTTGACGGCACAGACGCCTATACTAAAATGATACCAACCGACGCCACTGAACTAATCCCGTCTTGGGTTAACCACACGTGGATTGCTACTTCAGTGTATTCAAATCAGCGCTTTACTCTGGGAACAGCCGAAGGGGGTGCGAGGTGTTCCTATTCGCCTACAGGTTCCAACAACCAAAACGTTATAATTAATGCAGAAGGTATGTATTCTCGTATGCATTTATATAATGACGTGACATTTTTTGCAGTAATAAACTAAGAACGCATTTAGTTTATAAACCTGACTTCTAGTTTCTACTTAAACTTATTCAAATGTGAAGAAATTATACTTTTAATTCAAACTCTTTCATTCCAGATGTGAAACCTGTCTAAAAAGAATACAATGTGCCATGCCAACAATATGATCTAATGCCTCGGAGCAAATGTGACCATAAGAGACTAAACATTACAACGATGGACTTCAAAATGTTTAATATATTGTGTTTAATATAAGATTTTCCAAATTACGAAAATAATTCGTAAATCCCACAAATGTTGTTTGAGTATATAAAACTAAATATATACAAGTTGACTCACTAAAACAATGCTATTTTGTTTACAAAGTACAATGCATCGCTTCTGGTCTGAAAAACAAGATAAGAGTTAATATCAGTTAAGTTTTTATCAAAATAGTACTTTCATCGTATCAACTATTACCACACGCATACTTTAAGACACCTTAGCAGTCTCGAAATACACACCGTTAGGAGTTCCCTTGGAGACACGTCACAACATTCTCCTTAAAGTGTTGTTGTTTAAAGGCAGAATCTGATCTATAGGGGGTGACAAAATTACAAGCAATATGTATAATTGACCTACCAATCTATTCCTTACAATATCTTCCAAAAGATTCACAATATGTTATAAATTGGTGAATTTAATTAATGATTCAAAGTGCAAAAATTAGTGAAAAATGTTAAATTCTTCCAAATAATAAGAATGGTAACCATTCTTATGGAAGAATAATACATTATTGTAAAAATCTTTAGTTTTCCTGGAATAAAATATGCACTTTTGTGGTGTTTAGAAAATAGACATGACAAGGAATGACGTGAGCAAGAAATATTCTAAAATTGAAATCGCTATACCTGATTCTCGCTTTAACTGCTTTTAACTAAATTTTTATATTGAAACTTTAGCAGAAATCAAACGTCAATGCTTTGAATAAAATATAGTGTTATGTAGAGGGCAAAGAGTATTCCATTTCCATAGTAATCGGTGTAAATTATTCGATGAAGCCAATCATATTGTCCAGGGTGAGGACGGCCTTGAAGTTCTGTCCGTTGTTCTGGTGAAAAAATGATAGTACTTTGATAAGTGTTCTTACCGAATATTTCAGTATTAATACATTAGGGTTATGTACTGGGAGGTTTTGGATATGAGGTTTATCCAGAGTGAGATATGCATATCTACCCGAGGGACCGTAGGGACCGAAGGTAGATGTGCTGTCTCACGAGGGATGCATCTGTGGTTTTAAACAACAAACCACAAAGCATCTAATCTTCAAATGCCCTCTGTTGAATGTTATAAGAGATAAACTTTGGGGGGAACTCAGGAACATGCCAGAAATGAACATTTTCTTTACAGGATGCTCTATAGAGCAAAAGCAGAATATCTTAATGTATGGCAGAGATGGAGTTAGCATAACATGCAATTCTTCAATATTGAAGCATTTTACATCCTTTTTGTGTGAATGCATTGATATAATTATATAGTTTTAACACATTCCTGCCATGCATACATACATGTTGGTAGTCATTTGTGTTGCTATTTTGTACATTTGAATAAACTTTGTACTAACAGGGCCAATAATGCTGAATTTCAGCCTCGGCCCTGTCATTTGTAAATCATATTGTAAAGTAAAATAAAGAAACCATAAAAACTAAAACGAGGGATGAAACCAATATCCAAACCGACCGTACATAACTGCTTTATCCTATACCAAGTAGAGTTTTCAGTGAAATTACAGAAAGCGGGAAGATATGCACCGAATCGGGAAGATATGCACCGAATCTGGAAATATGGCGGGAGATATTGAGGTTCTGGATATGAAAACCTCAAAATCAGGATACGGGATATATCTTACCAACTTATCTCCCTAAAACTCTAGTTGGCATAGGATAAATTTGAATATTGAGTTTTTGGTCGTCATTTCCGTATTCTTGAACCGATGTTTCACTGTATAGACAATTTTCTTGGTCCTCAGATGTCAATATATCCCAATATAATTGTAAATTACACCCCAAAAGCCCGCCCAAAAGCCAACAAAATTTCCAAACAGTGGCCCAATGATCAGATGTCCAAATACAGGACTAACACCGCACGTTCGATAAAAATATAGAGCCAGTTGCATACTTGGAATCACAGAAAAAACTCAGCGTATTCTTTATCACTTTATTACTGTCACATTTAGACTTGGCAATGCATCACACAAAATGTTCGTATTAACTTAAGACTTGATCCAAGTCTGGTATTGGTCCAAATTAGTTTCTTTCACAGGAAAAAGCTCATATTCCAATTTGAAGAAGGCCCCGGCAAGGCATTTCTTTGCGATAATGATCCAAAGCAACCTCTAATTAAGGCCATATGAAACTACAATACTATGTAACTAATGTATATCATTGCACTTCTGACCTTTATACACATACTGTCAAATCTGTCAAATGTACATCAGTTTGACAGTGTCAAGCTTGTCTATGGTATATTAAGTCTTTGTAGGCGAACTGAATGATATTTGATATTTGAGGTTCTGGATATGGAAACCTTCCAAAGCGATGCATCACGGGAGATATTTATGTAAATGACCCCCTGAACTCTGATAGCGAATAGGAGTATTACACAAGGTTGCACATAATAGCGTTGATCTAATACGTGTCTGATAATTTAACATCGACGGTGCATAGTACAATGCATGATTACAACTATGACCCAGTTTTAGAAATAAGGTTTATACCATTTCCTTTGATAATTCGAAGTCTGCGTGTTTAGAGCGTGTTTGTTGTTTAGAGATAATTAATTGAACTGTGTCATCCTTAACTTACATATTATAAAGTGTTGTCTATTACATACAAGGTTAATAAGTAATAAACACTTGTGATTTGAAACCCTAACACATATGATAGTAATCATGTATTGAATTCATGTTTTTGAGGACTATACTGTTTTAGTGATTCAACAGATACTCATAATCATGAAGCTCATATTTTATCAAATAAAATAGTTTTCTCTTTTTAGTAATGAATAAAGCAGATGTAAAGCCATAGAGTCGATACTTAGTTATTATTAGTACCATCAATGCGATACCTTTTGTATTTGATTTTCAATAATATCTTACGTTGATGTAGATTGATAAATAACGTACAAAATAATAACACTGAACAATTGAAATTATAATAGTAATTTTATTTTGTACATAAAAGCAGTGGGTAATGAAGAACTAATAGATAAATTAGCAATGCTCGCGAGAACCAGTTACTTTATAATAAATATTAAAATCGTTTGATATTTTTATATGTTTTGAGCGAATAATTTAATTATCACATAATTTAGATCCAAACATAATATATAAAGACTATTTACTTTGCGTTCAAAAATGTAATTAGTCTGTTTGAGACATCTTGAGACTATCATTGAGACACGTACACTTGACCGAGACATTTTGAAAAGGGTGAAGACATCACCGAAGAAGTCCATGTATGATAATATGTAGCTTTAAAGACAATGCCCAGACACAATTAATAAATGTATGAGTTTATATGCGTGATATGTGGCATGTCAAGTTTGTTCTTTTCTTAATAACACGCTATATACCGACTCAGAAGTGAATTATTGTTTCGAACAGAAGTTTCGCCATGAAGTTTGACGAGGCATTAGTCCTGTTTGGAGGATTTGGACGGTTTCAGCTTTTAGTCATGATAGTTTGGAATATATTCTACGCAGGCAATGGTTGGCAATATCTCTTTACTGTATTTATCGCTGGTAGAATGGACCATTGGTGCAAGGTTCCTGAGTTGCAACATTTGAATGAAACTATGCAGAAGTCAATTGCTATTCCCCAGACAACTGGTCCCCTTGGCGATACGGTATACAAACAATGTACTATGTTCAACTATAACTACAGTGCAATCAATTTCACTGATCCAGACACGATCGACACATGGGTGAGCAATAGAACAACTGCTGAAATTGCTTGTAACAATGGATGGGTGTTTGATAAGTCTGTGCGAGAATCAACCGTTGTAAGCGAATTTGGACTTGTGTGTGAAAACGATTGGATGTATACGCTTCCAGCCACATTCCAGATGCTTGGTCTTTTATTTGGAGCTTTCCTCTCTGGGCTGATCTCAGATAAGTTTGGAAGAAAGCGAACAACTCTCGGTATGATTCTTTGCTCGATCGCTGCAATCCTCGGTGGAGCATTTTCAGAGAATTTTATCCTGTTTTTGGCGATGCGTTTGCTTGCTCTTTTAACTTCTATCGGGGCGTACACGTGTCTTTGGGTCCTCACTCTCGAGTTGATGCCACCTGTGCATCGGACACACGCTACCCTCTATGCTTCCATATTGCGCATTCTCAGATCGTTTATGACGTTAACGGCGTTCCTAGTACGAGGTCATAAGTGGCTCCAGATCATATCAGCATTGGTGACCATTCCTGGTTTCATTGGAGTTATCTTTTTAACCGAATCCCCGCGATGGTTAATTGCGAAAGGACGATATGAAGAAGCTGAAGATATATGCAGAAGAATTGCTAAAATAAATAAAGCGAAGATGCCTGAAAAGTTCAGCTTGAACGATGAAGTGACTTCGCAAAAAGAAAGTTCGATGAAAAATGCTCAAAACAAAGTGTCAGTTCTCGACTTATTCCGTACTCCAAACATTAGGAAAAGGACAATAGTAATATGGATTCAGTGGTTTGCTGTTGTATTTGGTTCGTACGCTATGAGACTAAACATTGGCACATTGATACCCGGAGACATCTATTTAAACAATTTCATTGTCAACGGACTAACTGATCTTATTTCCCCAGTGCTTCTGTTGGTTGTGTTATTCAAGATGGGCAGGAAGTCGATCATAATATCGTTTTTCATCGTCAATGGGATTTTATCACTGGCAATGATTGGCCTTCTACCAACAAAGATAACTGCGTTAACTACAGTCACGGCCCTGTGTGGAGCCTTACTCATCGGCATTGTGTTTAGGGTGATGTATCTATACAGCGGTGAAATATTTCCTACCATCGCCAGAAATGTTGGTATCGGCAGCGGCTCCAGTTTCGGAAGAGTGGGTGGCCTAATAAGTCCGAATGTTCCCCTACTTGGAAGCATTTGGTATGGACTACCGTATGTTGTTTTGGGAGTTTTCCCTTTGATTGCAGGTGCGTTGGCGTTCCTTCTCCCAGAAACGAAAGATAGACAATTACCCGAAACTTTCAAAGAGGCGGAACTATTTGGTACTGGGACGACGGAATGCAACAAAGATGAGTGCAAAGATGTAGTGAAAAATGGTTCAACTTACGGTATTGAATCAGTTAACAGTGACACTAATAGCGTTGTTGACAATACGAGATCGGACACCAATCAAAGTGTGATGCAAAATGGCGAATCCATGAGCAATGGATTAAAAAACAAATCTGATGATGGAATTCGCAACAGGGGTTTTGAAGATTCTGTCGACTTCACTATGTTATAACCTGACCATACGAGAAGTACAATTTCAGTATTTTTTATGAACACGATTCTAGATGTTTTGAAAAACCATTGAAAAGGAAATACTCTTCCTTGGGTACAACAGTAGATTCTTTAAAATAAACTAACGTTTGTTATATTTATTTTGCTACCTAAGTGTGGTTTTAATGATGTCATTCAAATTAAGATGTCAGCCCATCCCAATCGGTTTGTTAGTAAATTGTAAAAGGTCGAATCTAAAAGATGGCAGCATTTAACTAATACTCTGTTGTGCTAAGCGTCAATAAATATTGTATCAATAGAAGATAGCATTAAAGTGATATATTTCATCAACGAACAAATATGATCTTTTTACGAGTGAGCGTAGCGAGTCAACCTCAGGTAGGGCTTGCTCAGTTCTGATAAGATAAAAAGGAAGGGTTAATTTATTGCAATTGACTGTGCAAGGGTTAATCTGTTATGTTTGTAACAAAGTGAGCAAATATATTTAAATCAACTCAAGTTTAAGACATGAACTGTGTTGTACAGCAGCCTAACCTTGGAATAACGATCAAGATGCTCATATATTTAGACATTTAACCCGTGTTTATTTATGTCTACTTTGATATATTGACACATTTCGTTTTAGCTGTGAAATACAGTGAAGTAATGACGTAATAAATCAGAAGTCTTAATACCTTTAATCTTGTCGGCTTTCGAGATTGGGTAACTTAACATTGGTTGTCAGCAAGCAATTTCGATTGTTTATGGCTACAGATACTTTCTGTCAAAGCTTAACAAAGCAATGGAGAGATATTGATATGTTACTGACTGCGTTGGAATAAGGATCGGTATAAGAGGTTGGAGAATGGGAGGGAATTCCAATGCGGGATAGACTCTGTGAATTGTGTCTGCATGAAATTGAGACTTTATAGCACTTAACGTTGTTTTGTCTAAATAAAAATGAAAACAGGACCCAAATACAAGTAGTGATAAACAGATACTTGAATCATGAGCACGTGACGACATCTAAAACTAAAATTGGTCTACGGAGGCGATGAGCGTGTCAGTCATGATGAACTCAAGGCAATGTCAGTAATGTACGTGACATGTATATTAAAAGAACAGAGAAAAACTGAAATCCACATAAGAATGGTGGGAGTAGTGATCGGTTGCCGAGGATTCGATGCAACAATTTACCTAATTAGTTATGTGAATAGGTTTTAGCAAAGTTATTTTACCAAGATGAGCCTGTAATACATCTATTTTTTATATTTAGCTTTCATAATGTATTTTTATGTAGTTTCTCACCTTGACCTTGGCACAAAAAGTATACAATTGTAACTAGAATGTCTTTTGGTGACACGGGTACTCCTTAGGGGGGTACATGGGCCAACCAAGGGCCCCGTGTTCACTGAAAGACCACGGTCTCGCTTCTAATTACCAAAGGCGAGCGTTAACCTTGGGGAAGATGTGCCCCTTGGTAAACGGAAGTGGACCATGAACTCTATCTGTGTCTGGTCTCTTTTCATGTTTTTATCATTACCACCTGTTATCTCTTTATGTAATAATTAATTATTATTATCTCCAAAAATGGAGGCGAAATAAATATGATAATAATAATAAACACACACGAAATTAAACTTTATTCCTGCAATTAGTAGTTTTGATAAATTGACACACAGAACATATTTACTGCCTCTCTCAGTATGATTATTTGATAGTCATCGCATGGAGATTATTTTTTGTTTACAAAGTCACGGCAATATTGATGCTGGATCTTCACTAATGCTTTTAAATGAGAAATTGAGATTAATCAATAGATAACAGAAACGTGGCGATAAAACGATTATTAATCAATACCCATCAATCATCGGCTGTGTCCGCAAAATAACAAAACTCACGTTAAATCCACATCATATTGATGGCTGACCGTGAGGTGGATATTGCGCACTTTAACGATTAATGTCGCTTGTAATTAATAGGTCCAATGTCAAAAGATAATCTTTTCATTATTTTTTAATCCATGTTCACGATGCTTGATAAGCTGATCATTTAATCAATATATTAATCTATTGAAAGCCCATGATTTCAGTTCCTATTTGAATGTTCCCCATTAATCATATTTTCTTATGACACCTCTTTACTTTCATTTAGAATTACGTTTCGACGATAATCAGAGGAAATTAAATCTTAGTCGGGTGGACTTAAGAGTTAACAGTCCGTATTATAACGCAACGAACTGAGAAAAAGGCCCGTTATGTAATGCATTTGGGGCACGATGTCATTCAATGCGAGATATAATCTAGATTAGATCACGATTTTGTCGAGAGTTTGGTAAATGCTAGTCAGCGACATGGACATAATTCATCCTCGCAAAGAGTACTAATTGATTTCATAACATTTCCGAATCATTTATCAAGTTTCTCAAATGGAACTTCAACAGAGTGTAAATGGACTGATAACGTCTTGAAAGCAAAGTAAATACGCCTTGGTACAGATGAGACCTTCGTTTGGAATTATGCAATTTATTTACGAACGCCAATAGCAATTTAATCATAAAACTGCTTTTAACGAAACATAAAGAATATTGTTCTCATAAACGTCCAAAAGAATAGTATAACTAAATGTCAGAACCGTACGATGTTCAAAAGATGACATCACCATTTATGGCGTCAATCACTTTGCATCAGAAAAGGCATTTCTCGCTCTGCGAAACGATATATTTATGACTTTTTCAAATTGATTTCCTGTTATTTGTTTAGTCAACCGATGTGTATTTGTAAAGTACTAATGGCATCACTTGGCCACAAAACAGCGCACTACTCTTCGCGTGACACAAATGCTTCAGAAATTCGAGTTTTGGGATAGGGTGGTCCACACTTTATTTTTTGCATTTTTTCAAGATTTCGTCTTAAAAGTTAGCTTTGTCTACACTTAGTTGAGGATTTTTTAAAGACGAAAAGATTTCATATAACATAGAACATTATTATGCGTAACATAAAATCATAAAATCTGTGATCAAGTCGATCTTAACCAGAGACATTGATAATCGAGATGTGCAAAAGGTAGAAGGCGTGACACGAGGTTCGCTGTAGATGTTCCCAAAATTATTATTATGTACAAATATGGAAGTGGAGCTCAGAGTATACAGGATGATAAATGCAACAAGGCGGTAAAAGATATACACATCAAAACTCAATGTTGAATGTGAATTTGACTTCCATGAAACGACAAGGTTGACATGTTCGAATTCCTTAGAAGGATGAGCAGTAGTTATCTAATGCTGTTACTGACGAGTATCTAAGAATTCAGTGGTGCAACTTCATAGTGACAAATTAGATTGCGCCATTGTGTTCTTTGTGGCATTATCATCAACATATTTTTTAGGGATCCCACATTTAATTACACATATTTCCAAATCACACAAGAGACACATAAAATAGGTTTCGAACAAAGTAGCTAATTAGTCAGAAAGATATCACACGATACACAAATTGCAATCAGCATTCAACGTAATTATTAGACGAGAAACCACTCTGAAACTGATTAAAGTGGGATATCAGGTGCATTTGTCTTGCTCCAATGTGAAATATAGTTCCATAAATTCTACTTATTTCATTATACAGTTGGACAGCACTGACATTATTTCATTTGGTTGTATTCAAATGTCCATTAGTTGCCATTGCATGTCAGTATACAATTCTACGATTTTGATAATAACAATCCTTTAGAGCATACATAGATAAATAACACGAATGTGCCTTAGTTCGCATCTCTAAAACAAATTGATTGACCATGAATCATATCAGTCTAACTAAAGTGGTAAACAGAACAATTAAGAGCGCATGTACCCAGAACACTACAGCTTCATAAATTCATTTTAATAGACGATTAAAAGTTTTGTGAAGTGAGTGTGGAGGGACCACGTGTTGTTGTCGTCTGGGTCAGACACATTGTTTATCTATTCAGCCAATCATATGGCTCCTCGATTACATACATCATTTGAAAGATACCACGAGGTACCCTATCTCGCCATTCTATATTTTTATTTGAGGATACAGCAACACATATACTTCTTGTTGCAGGACATTAGACTTTCATTTATTAGATTATATTATATGCTTAAATTTTAAGCCACCCATTCCCCACCACCACCCGTGGTTGTTAGCCCTATCGGCAAAAAGTATTGTTATATAACATTATGTAATTTATAATAAAATTACGTCATTATATTATATAGCCAACTACAAACCTATTAAGTTTTGTTCCTTTTACTTTTGCCTACCTAAGAGCGCATGTACCCAGAACACTACAGCTTCATAAAAGATATAATCATTTCATTTATTTAACAGATCGCACGTTCTTAAAAAGCTGTATTTAGTGTTAGCATTATTCATCAGGTGCAGCGTTGACATCGATGACCCGATCGTGAGTCCCTCTAATGTGCAGTTGAAAGAGTTATCTTGATCAATTTACCAATCAATTAAGTCATATAGTATATAGAATAACTGTATGGCAGTTCTAGGACTTAGCCTTCTCAAGTTCACTATACCTTGATACTAGCATAATATTAGATTATATAATTAAAGAATATCGGATATTTCTCATTTTGAAACTTATCTCACACTTACAATCAAAATTTAGGATTGTGAAATGACCTGGATATCATCATCAAAAAATGTGTAGAATCACTGTACTGTTTTCGAGGTCAACGCCTCATTCTGAATGTAGATCACACGATTTATAAATGGAGAATGAAAATATTGAGAAATCAGAACATTTTTCTTCAATCAAAATTCAGTCAGTGAAGTTCTCATTACACAATGCAGATTATTTAAACCGTTGTGATTGCCCATCATGCATATTGCTTTGCGAGTTGATATATAAATGTGGCTTTCAGCTCACATGACGTATTTACCATTGCAGGCATGAGGAGGAACATGTCCGCCTTTTTTCATCTGTCAGCCATTTGTATTCATTAGAAAAATCAACAGATTTGTCAAAAATAAACATATAATTACT